TGCCAAGACTGTTGACTATGGAGCCAAGCAAACTAAAGCTGTGTACAATCTCAATCTCTTCACCATCCATCCTGATGCTGACAGTTGGTCCAGTGGTGAGAATCTTTGTTTTTCATGTAGTACAGCCAAATACAGGAGATCTTTCTCTATCCCATATTAAGGGCTGATACGGGTTATTTAGGCTTGCACTTCTCCAGAGCTAGGTGATCTGCCCCGGCCAGGGGCCTCCTCTTCCTTCCCAACACCCACATAAAATGCATTTCCCTCTGTCTAGAAACTCCAAAGCTGTCAAAGTCATTGACGTAGACTTGGAGCCAAGTTACTGTGTTTCCAAAGGTGTAAATCAGACAAGTGGCCATTCTGTATATTGTGCCTTCAGAGTTGCTGCCCAATACGTAGGTACACCACCTTCCCAAGACTCGTCTGTGGGGGTAGCGGCACGACTCCCTACGGGTTAAGTCACGTGAAAGAAACCAGAATCCACCTTCCTCCTTGTTGGCTGAATAACATTTCCTCTACTTTGTCTCTTTTAGGTCTCAAGTGTGATTTAGGGACCACCAGTCCAGTAAGCTGAGGATGAAGACGGACCCTCAGCCGCTGTGAAGGGAGTGTGGACGAACGGAGTGTGGACCAAACAGTGTCCATCTGCTTCCAGATTACCTTGTGTTCCCCTCCTAGTTGGCACTCTCCTCCTGAAGGGATATCTTTGGATTAGCAAAGACATTAGTACTGCAGAAGCAGGAACAAGGAAATGGTAAGTCCTAGGGAAAAATCTTTCAACCTCAAATGGATGGTATTGGATAGAATCTTTTGGGGGACCCATTATGCTCTGTAGGTCTGCAGTTTTCCCATAAGGAGTAAGGGTGCAAGCAGAGGCTCCTAGGATCACCCCAGACAGCCCCCTAATTGCATACTCTCGACATACTCAGCCATTTCTGTATCCAGCTCTTTCCTGTTGGGGATGTGTAAAATCACTTATGTGCTCATAGAGGTGGCCTCGTGCTCTGTTATCTCCAACCTCGTCCGTCATTGAAGGTTCTCTCCATGTTTAATGACAGAATGTCCTGTTCAGAACTCCCAGGTGGTCCAGCAGAAGATTAGCTGTGATTTTTCATATCCTTTGTATATTGTTGGGCTTTCTTTATTGTGTTTACCCCAGTGACGTGTTTTTTATGTATTGCGTTCAGACCTTTAGGTGTGGGGAATGAATGCTCTTGTATTCAACTTCCTCACCCCTTTCTTCCTATGCCTAGAGTTGGTGTTTGATCTCTGTAATTCTTGTCCATTCTTTGCACTCTGCAATTGAAGGTCTGCAGGAGTGGTGTGTAAGCAGTGGTCCTTCTAAACCAAAGCAGGGTGTGTTGTGGTCATTCCCGTCCCCCAGATGTTCAATGAGAGAATGATGGACATTTTTTTCCTAGTGCACCTTACAGCCTCAGAAAACCCACAGCGCTGTTGACTATTTCCTATTGGGTGGCAGTCACTTAGTGAGTCTTGAATTCTCGCATTACAACCAAAAATTAAAGCTCACTTTTCCAAAAGAAGCTAATCTCTGAAATATGGAAATTTAAGATCTTGGGGTACAGTTTTCACTCAAATTCATATTCTAGATTACTTGGCATATTTCTACTGAGAGTCATTTCCTCCTGTCTCCCTCAATATCTTGATCCTTTCTATATAATTTCTAGTTTTGTCCCTGAAGTAATTTTGATACCACCTTCTTCCAGTATTGGTCCCACCATAGTGGGTATTTCAGGTGCCATGGTCATTTGATAGTTGTTTTCTCCGTTGACAAAAAATATCTGTGTCTTTCTGATCAGTGGTACTTAGGGTACTAAGGAATTACCCAGATAATCCAAAAATTAGCCCTGTGCTGCTTCTGCTGTCCAGTAGTGTCCCAGAAATCCTGTGTGAATCGGGATTCTTAGGAGATAGGAGAAGCAGAGAGAAATCAGTCTGATTAGTATCCTCTCTGATGGTGGTAGGACCTACTGTTTTTCAGGGCCAAATTAAAAGTCTTCCTCCCCATGGTTTCATAGGCTGGTGAATAACGGTATTCCTAAAGATGGCATCCGAGTCTTTCAGAATCCCCGTAAGCCTCCTCCTTTGTTCTGGATTTTGGTCTTAAAGCCATTAACTGGGTTGCCTTTAGAATGTTGTGAAAGCACTTACCCACGTTATTCTCAAGACTTTCTTACTTTGGACAGGGCCCTTTGATAATCAACCAGTCCCTCTTGACTATGCAGCCCACACATATTCTGACGTGATCTGTCATCTGTTCTACTTGGTTTTATCAGAATTAGGTTTAGAATCAGAACCAACTCGTACGTCACCCTCCACTTGGGTTGGAGAAACCAAGTCAGAAGGGAGGGGATTGCTCAACTTTCTCCAGGGAATTCGTGGATCAATTCCATATAACTACATTGGTGTTGGCAGGGTCACTTCTTACCGTTAGGTCCCTAGAAGTCCCTGGTTTTTTTAGTTACATGATGCCATCAGTTTCTGGTATCAGGATCCTGGATATGTGTACCAAATCTTCAAGTATAAAAACTCTGATCCTGTGGAAAGTTGGAAAGAAGTCTTTTAGGCTGATCTGAGTGTCTTCCAGATCCTTGAATTAACTGCATGACTCATAGGCAATAATTATTGTCTTTACTGCAAAAGCACCTGACAAGGAAGGACGCCCTGCTTCAGAAAGTCCCAGCAAGTGTTTTTGTTTTTTAATTTTATTTTATTATTTTGTGTGTGTACTGTCATATCAGATCTGACTGGTACAGGAAGAGATTGTTCCTTCTTCTCCAGCAGAGCATCTGCTGGATTTGAACCGTGAACCTTTGGGATTTCAGTACACCTTCTTGCTACTAGGCCACCAGAGCTTGCCCCAGCAGGTATTTTATATACACAGGACATCCTGCTTGATCAAAATGCCCAGGTTTGCTCCTTGTGGTTTGCCTGGCAATTAAACCAACCAGAGGGTAGCTCAGGAGGGTTTCTAGACTTCATGGCACGTGAGAACATCTTTTTTCTCCCAGGCTGATTACATACAACAGTGTGTATGCCTACGCATAGGGAATATCCTCTCCTCATTCTTCAATCTTCTGATGGCCTCTACTTCTGTGGCTGCATTGAAGAGGCCTCATCACTGCTCATTGCTGTCTTGTGATAGGAGGTCCAGACACAATTTCCAGTTGTGAGGGATCTCAGTTCTCTGTGACTTGTCTTACCTGTGCTCTTTTTTTTTGGTGGCCTAGTGGCAAGAAGCTGCACTGCAATCCCAGAGCGTGCGGTTCGAATCCACCAAATGCTCTGCTGGAGAAGGGGGGACAATCTCCTCCTGTACCAGTCAGATCTGATTTGATGCTACACACACACACAAAAATAACCTGTGCTCTTTTTAAACATTTTAGTAATGTTTTTTTTCTATACAGTAAAATGAGGTGGGAAAAAAAAAACCAAGGAAACGTGGTGGTGGTGTTATGTGCTGGCAAGCCGCTTGTGGTTCATAGTGACCCGATATGTACAGCAACCCTAAACCCTGCTCTATTTCTTGCCAACCTTATAGTCTCCGACACACCTATACCCAATACCCAGTGATGGAATCAATCCATCTCATCAAGGGTCTTCCTCTCCTGTGCTGTCCCTCCACCTTCCCAAGCATGACGTCCCTCTCTGGGGATTAATCCCCCCTTGCCTCATGTCCACAGGATGTTAGATGGAGCTTTAGAATCCTTGCCTCCAATAAGCAACCTGGCTTCACCCTCTCCAGGACTAACCTGTTTGTTCTCCTAGCAGTCCGTGGCATATTCAGTATTCTTTTCCAGCATCTAAACTCAAAGGCATCAACTCTCCTTCTATGATCCCTAGTAATTGTCCAGCTCTCGGATGCATTGCACGTAATGGCAAAGAAGATGGCCTGAATCAGGTGCACCTTACTCTCCACAGTGACGTTGTTGCGCCTCAGTACCTTGGAAAGGTCTCTGACAGCAGACTTTCCCAAGGCCATGCATCTTTTGATTTCCTGGCTGCTGTTATGAACAGTGTTGATTAGGAAACATAGATGTTGAAAATGAGTCATTGCCGTGAATGAAGTTATGTTGTTGTTGTTATGTGCCGTCGAGTCGCTTGCAACTCATAGCGACCCTGTGTACAACAGCCCTAAACTCCGCTCTGTCCTGTGCCAATCGCACTGTCTCTGACACTCCCATTCTTCTAAAAGAGGCTTCTGTTGTCAGCACATGAATTTTTCAGGTTCTCGCTTGCTGGATTAAACTAAAGGGTGACCATCTGAAGAAGTTTTATTGCCATCTTTTTGTCAACCCTTGCTGTTGTTCTACCCGTTAAGACAGTAAGAAAATACAGCCCTTCTGCCGTGTTTCCATGATATGATTATGTCGTCTTCTGTTTAGTGTATACTGTATATTTTGTCAACTATTCTTAGACAGCTTTGCAAAAGAGATGAAATGGACTGTTCCTGACTGACTGATGTTCCTCATTCAGTCCGGTTTCTACTTTGTGATTCTTCCTTTTTTTTTTCTAGACCATGGAGTAACTGTGCATATTGGTCCCTCTGAAAGGCCCCCACTGTGAGTTTATGATTTGTTCTGGTAAAAGTAATAGCAGACCAGGTAAAAGAAGTGTCAAGGCAATGTCGTGTCATGTGCTTGACCTGGCATACAAGTCCATCATGGCCTTCAACGACAACTCTCCTTTGCTCAGTTCCCCAGCTCCTCCTTCGTGTCCCTTGGGTTTCTATATTTGCGGGAAGGTCTCTCACAGACTCAGATACATCAGAAAAATTACTTAGCTGACAGTAGGTCTACAGGCTGGTTTTGTAGACACTGGTGAGCGATGGGCCAGCGTCCTGTCGACTGTGATTTGTGGAGCAGTTGTGTGGTGACGGTGGGTGATGCAGGGTGGTGGTGCAGAGAGTGGTGAGCAATGGGCCGGGCTGGATGCACCTGGATACCGTGTTCCAGGAGAGCTGGTGTTCCAAAGAGAGAGCGACCAGCACTGAGGTCTCGTGAGCTTCTATCATCCTATAGTCCAGTGTGTCCCATTCTAATCTTTCCCCTTGACAGCATCAGTACTTCAGGACAAAATAAACCATTAATGACTGACTAGGAATAGGACCTTAAAAGCAAACCTTAGGCACCCACATGCAGGTATTTCAGTCTGTGATAAATCTGACAGGGCTTAATCAAAGAGGCAGTGAGCGCACTAAGTGAAGGAACAAGTCTGATTTTCTGTGTCAATCTTGATAGAAACTAGTACTTTTGTCTTCTCAGTGCGATTTCTGGGGTTTCTAGGTGTGTCAGGCTCCTACTTGGCTCTTGTTTTTGCTGGTGAACATGGCACCTTGTTGATCCAGAATACATTGTGTGTTCCAGGCACCGCTGTTCCTGGAGGACGTAGTCATCCTCTTCAGCCAGACAGAGTGGGCTTTGCTGAATGTCCCTCAGAAGAAACTCTACAGGGAGGTGATGACGGAAACAATGAAAACCCTGGACTTCATTGGTAAAAATTGCATTTTCTGCATATTTAAATTTTTTAATGCACATGAGATTAATTTGTGGACATTCCTTTTGAACTTGGACTGAAGAACTGGAATGCAAGTTTCTATAACACAGACGTGGTCACTTAGCTTTTGGCATTCATGTATGGAGAATGACTCATTGATGTGGCCTGTGTCTGATGGGACATTTTCGCTTCCTGTGATTCAAGGGACTCAGGTGTGTAACTCTCATCGGTTTATCAGCTTGATGGCTCTGGAATCAGAGGAAAGTCTTTGGAGCAGTGGGAATAGAACTTCTGGATTAGGAACCGCTATGAAGTCGTGGATTTTCCAATGATCCTGCTTCTATTGATAGACTGGCATTTATGTGAAGCGTGTCGACACAGTCTCTTTTTGCTTGAGGAGACAATGTCAGACATCACTGCAGGTTCTTTTTCTGAACTCGTAGTCCGGTCATGGACCCACTTTTCTGTGTTTCATATTTGTCCTGTGTGACGTGATGTGTGTGCTGTAAGATAGTAGGTGTGTGCTGTGAGATACTGTGTGTGCACTCTTGTGATTGTCTTTATGTAATTTAAGAGTCTTCCAGATGAAAATCATTTCTATGATAACACATTTAAGTTTTCTCAAACGCTGCCCAGGGAATAGTTGTTTCTCATTAGGAAAGCATGCCTACATTCGTGTTTGTTCACAGGAGTCTCTCCTCTCTTACGTCATTCCTCTCTGTGTCATCGTGTCCAACCTGGCTTCATTTTTGTGGCAGGCATTGAAAACGTTCGTGATGGAAAAGCATTATCCTCTGAATGTAGACTGTTGAAACTCTTAAAGACTCCCCGTCGTCAGCCTTTAGGAAAACTTGCAAAAGTCCTTGGCAGAAAAGATCTACATAGAAAGCAAGAGGACACTTTGAGGTGAGTATCCTGCAGATGAGAAATAAGACCTTGTAGCAAACGTAGTTGCTTGGAGTCAGCTGTCAGAAAGTCTCAGGATTGATGGTACCAATTCCAGAAAGAGCATTTTTGGTAGATTGTGATGTATCAGCCTTCTTGAGGGAAGTTCCACACGTCTTCATTGTTCTTTATCATGGGTCAATGGGAACATATTTATTTACAATTCTGTATTGTCTCTTATTTCCCAGAAGTCACCTGTCTGAAGGGATGGAGGACAGCCACTCTGGGAAAGCCTTCCTCAGAATTCCACATCTTCCCTGCTGGCAAAACAGTCGTGTGGAGGTGAACCCGCTGAGGACTTGCATTGGTGAGAGCAGCTATGGATGTCACACATGTGGGCAACATTTCTGCACCTTCTCATTATTTTGGATCCATGTTGTAGATGAGCATAAATGGACAGAAAACTCTGAGATCTTTATTAATCCTTTTCCTTTAGTTTCCCACAAAGCATTTACTTTTCCATATAAGCTTTGTAAATGTAAGGAAAATGGGAACATCTTTGTTTATTCCTCCTCCCTTCTGAGTAAATCCGACGTCTCAGTAGATCAAAGCCTTCCTAGTGCAGACAAGCCATTTCCATGCAAGGCGTGTAGAAAATCCTACAGTTGTCTCTCAGAGCTAAGGAGACGTGAGAGAACACACAGAGATGAGAAAGTATCTGAACGTGAGCAGTGTTGGAAAAGCTTTCCTCACCGTGCTCGGCTAAGTGTACGTGCAAGAGGTTGCTTAGAGCAGAGACCTTCTGAATGTAAGAAAAGTAAGGAGTCATGCTTGCAGCCACGTGACCTCACTGCTCATAGAAGAATTCACCCAGCAGACAGACCGTACGAATGCCAGGACTGTAGGAAAACCTATAAAGTCTCCTATCAGCTCAAAATCCATAGACGAATTCACACAGGGGAGAGGCCTTATGAATGTCAGGACTGTGGGAAATCCTATAAAGTCTCCTATCAGCTCAAAATCCATAGGCGAATTCACACAGGAGAGAGGCCTTATGAATGCAAGGAATGTGGGAAAACTTTTATCCACTTAAGTCAATTCTATACACATAGACGAATTCACACAGGAGAAAGACCCTATGTATGTAAGGAATGTGGGAAAGCCTTTGCAGAATCAGGGAACCTCAATAAACATAGGCGGGTTCACACAGCAGAGACACCGTATGCGTGTAAGGACTGTGGGACATTCTTTACACACTTGAGTCAGTTCTATACACATAGGCAGATTCACACGGGAGAGAAACTGTATCAGTGTACGGAGTGTAGGAAAACCTTCAGACAGTCAAGACTCCTTCATCGACATAGACTTATTCACACAAGAGAGGGACGTTATGAATGTAAGGAATGCGGGAAGACTTTTGTAGACGCACCTGGACTCAGTAAACATAGACGAAGTCACACAGGGCAGAGACCTTACGAGTGTCAGGACTGTGGAAAAGCATTCTTATACAAAAGCGACCTCAAAACACACAGACGAATTCACACAGGAGAGAAACCTTATGAGTGCAAGGAATGTGGAAGAGGCTTTTCATACAGATGTGTCTTCAACACACATAGACGCATTCACACCGGAGAGAGACCTTATGTGTGTAAGGACTGTGGCAAAACCTTTATAGAGTTCAGTAAGCTCAGTGGTCATAGACGGATTCACACAGGAGTGAGGCCTTACGCGTGTGAGGCCTGTGGGAAAACTTTCAGCCACTCGGGTCCCCTTAAAAGGCACAGACTTACTCACATGGACCAGAAACCTTATGAATGTAAGGATTGTGGCAAAACCTTCGTAGACTCCCCTGGGCTCAAGAAACATAGACGCATTCACACAGGAGAGAGACCTTATGAATGTGAAGAATGTGGAAAAACCTTCAAGCAGTCAAGTCACCTCACTGTCCATCGAAGAATTCACACAGGAGAGAGACCTTACGAATGTCCGGAGTGTGGAAAGACTTTTGCTGCGATTTCCACCCTTCATGTCCATAGAGGAGTTCACACAAGGGAGAGACATCATCAATGTGAGGAGTGCGGAGAAACCTTTCATCTCCTTAGCCGCCTCGTTGAACATAGAACAGTTCACACGGGAGAGAGACCGTACACATGTGAAGACTGTGGCAAAACATTTTCACAATCCGGACACTTGCGTCGACATAGAAAAGTTCAAACAGAAGGGAAATCTTATGCGTGTCAGACGTGTGGGAAAACATTTTCTCTTCCTGCTTGCCTAAGAGAGCATCTAAGAAGGCACACAGGACAGAGACCTTATACCTGTCAGGACTGTGGGAAAACATTTCCATACTCCAGACACTTGCAAAGTCATAGGAGAATTCGAATCAAAGGGAAATCTTACGAATGTAAGAACTGTGAGAAAACCTTTTCTACACCTGCTTGCCTAAGAGAACATGGAAGAATTCACCCAGGAGAGAGACGTTATACGTGCGAGGACTGTGGGAAAACATTTTCAACATCGAGAAACTTCCGTAAACATAGAAGAATTCCAACAGAAGGGAAATCTTATGAATGTAACAATTGCAAGAAAACTTTTTCCGCGCCTGCTTGCTTAAGAGAACATGGAAGAATTCACACAGGAGAGAGATCTTTTACGTGTGAAGAATGTGGGAGAACATTTTCACAAGCAGGAAACTTCCGTAGACATAGAAGCATTCCAACAGAAGGGAAATCTTACGACTGTAAGAAATGTGAGAGAACATTTTCTACCCCTGCTTGTCTAAGAGAACATGGAAGAAATCACACCGAAGAGCGACCTCGTAAATGTGAGTAAGGAGGGAAAATATTTTTTTGAAGGTTTTACTGACTAATGTTTGTTGTTGTTATGTGCCGTCGAGTCGTTTGCGACTCATAGCGACCCTATGCACAACAGCCCTAAACCCTCCCTGCTTTATCCTGCGCCAACCGCACCACTGCCTCTGACACACCCATCCCGATTACCCCAGTCACTGAATCAATCCATCTCATAGAGGGTCTTCCCCTCCGGCGCTGTCCCTCCATCCTCCCAAGCATGATGTCCCTCTCTGAGGACCTGTCCCTCCTGGCAACATGTCCAAAGTGTGTCAGACGAAGCCCCAGAATCCTTGCCTCCAAGGAGTAGCTTGGTTTAATCCTCTCCAAGATGAATCTGTTTGTTTTCCTGGCAGTCCATGGTACATTCAGTACTCTTCTCCAGCACCACAGCTCAAAGGCATCCACTCTCCTTCTGTCCTTCCTAGTCATTGTCCAACTCTCTGATGCATAACAAGCGATTGCAAATACCATGGCCTGTATCAGGTGCACCTTAGTCTCTAGAGAGACACTGTTGCTCCTGAGTACTTTAGAGAGGTCCCTAACAGCAGACTTTCCCATCGCAATACTACACTTTTTGATTTCCTGACTGCTGGTGCCAAGAGTGTTCAGCAGTAAGTGCATGAGGTCCTCCTCATGCAGGAATTTCAAAAGAGAGAGACCCTTACGACTGTCAGGAATGTGGGAAAACCTTGTCACCATTCGGAAGCTGCATTGTACATGAAAGGTCACACTAGAGAGAGAACTCAGCAAAGTAAGGAAAGAATGGGGAAATTTTTGTGACATGAACATTGTACCCAAGATGAGCCCTCTGAATGTAAGGAATTTGGGGCAACCTTTCCACAGTGACACAGCAGACACCTCTTATGACCATCAGCAATGGTAAACTGGCGCAGGCTGCTCCAGTCAGGAGGGGCTTGTAAGCCTGAGGTCTAGGGTCTCAAAGAGGGAACATGAAGGTGGGTAGAAGTTCGGCGAAGGAACGATGAAAGAACACGAGACAAACAGTCAAGTGATCGTAATGATTTTAATTCTAAGTCTTTCTCATTCTTCTTTTTCTTCCTTCTTTCTTTCCTGCTAATTGCATTTAGCATGATACATTTATATTCCATTTTTATAATTAGGGGCTTAATCAACAGCCAGAAAAACAACAAAAGTAAGAATAACGTTTACATTCTTTTCTTGCACATAGCTATTTTTTATGGTCACGGTTCCTTGATAACTGGAGAGCTTGGTGGCTTTTTACTTAAACAATTTCTTTTTAAACCAGTTTTTAAACCTGTTCTTCAGCTTGTTTGGGTTACAAAGTTACAAAGTAAAAAAGTTACATTTTAAATTTAAGCTGATACATTTTACATTTTTAGCTGAATTTACAATATTATTTATTTCCATTCAAAAGACAACACTTTTACACTTTCCATTATTCCACGGGTGATCACTATCTTAATAAGGGGGTTTAGGTTCATACAAAGGATGTTTTGGGTTATAATATTGCATAAATTCATCATTCCAATCTCATGTCTCATGATCTATTTTACCACCTATACCTCGCATAACATCTTTCCTTTGGTCACTTTCAAACCTTTTGAAAAATATATCCCAAAAACCATCAGGGTGTTTTGCATTAAATTAATCGTATTTTCCAGTATATGGAAGAGGTTTATTTGTAGGCTCTGGACTTCTGTAAGGGCCTTTCCCAATAGAGGGATGCACAAACAACCATTACCTAATAGATAAACAAAACTTGATGTTCTCATGGTGGGGGGCAAGGGTCTGGTTTTATTCTTTGAAGGAGTTTTAGTAATGCTAAGAGAACCAGAGGTAATGTTTGCGTATTAAGGTTGTCACCTCCATTTAGTTCTTTCCTGGAAACATTTAACAAACTTTTAGTAAAAACACTTTGTGTAAAGAACACAGCTTTTTTTCCCCTGTCCCACATAGAAAACATAAAGAGACAATAGAAGAGAAATTACAGAAAGGCCAAGAACCATCATGGAGAAAGCACATGTTCCAAGAGGCTGACTTCCTTGAAGTTTTCACCTCAATCGGGTGATTTTGTCACGCAGACTCCTTTGGAGTTGGTGTGGCAGTAGACAACAGTTATCCATCCTTCCCTTCTCACTGGGCATTTTTTTACAGTCACCCTGCAAACAGGCTGCGTGAATTAGGAATATAGGACTGTGTTCAGTCAGTTTTCTGCCTTCCCCGGGCACCTGACAACTCTCACTCAAAGGGACAGATGGTTAAGAAAAATGTTGTTGTCAAGTGCCGTCTAGTCGTAGGCGACTCATAGCGACCCTAGGAACAAAAGTCCTCGACACTTGCGTGCGTGACTTTCCTCCTCTCTCCAGGTTCATAGAGTTTCCAGAGCCAAGCTATTACAGAAGTGGGTGCCACTCCTGCTGCTTTTCTAACCTTGTTTTGATCAGGACGCTTCACCAAACGCTGTCCACCATGGGTAACCAACCATTCTTGCATTTGACTCATCAGTGTCACAGTGTTCGACTTCACAGCACCCATGCCTCTGAACACCAAGTGGACAGACCAGGGTTACACGACCTAGAAGAATGTTTCACCAAAAACAAATATTCTAGGTTTTTAAGAGAGTGTTTGTCATCAAAGTGGAGCAGGCTTGAGTCTCCAAGAGCTCTATTTTTCCAATCAGCTGCGGGGACTTTTAATTTCTACTAATAAAATGGCAGATGAATTCATTTACTGTTCCCCAGAGCAGGAGAGGAAACTAGGCCTGGCCCTGCAGGGAATCATGAACCTGATTTCCTCCAGGTCTGCTGTGAGCAAAAATGCTAACAGGCACAAATTGTCGTCATCACGTCTTTGGAAAAAATAATAAGGACAATCGCAATTGTTCTAACAGAACATGTGATTGGGCTAAAGAGTGTCAAGTAGGAGAGGAAAGATATGTAAAGATGGCAAACCCATTGTGTGATCTCTGCTGGCCAGGATGCTGGATTTTTTTGTTTTGTTTTTGATTTTATCATTCTATTAGTGTGTGTGTGTGTGTGTGTGTGTGTGTGTGTGTGTGTGTGCGCGCGCGTGTGTGCGTGTACCGTCAAATCGGATCTGACTGGTCCAGGAGGAGATTGTCCCTCCTTTCCCGGCAGAGCATCTGGTGGATTTCAGCCGTGCGCCTCTGGGATTGCAGTGCAGCTTCTTGCCACTAGGCCACCAGAGCTCCCCTGGAAGCAGGGTTTTGAAGTACAATTTTCCCTACCAAAGACTCACTCTTCCCCAAATCTCCAAATGTCTCCAGACAGTATGCAGGAGATTGTGTTTTCACTACTGCATTGATTAGTCTTCCCTGATCCTGTTTCATAGGAGAAGTGTCATTCTGTCTGGGGAACTCAAGGATACTTGCAGAGGTTCTGATTTTTGCCACGTGCATGGAGTTCTTCAGGGTTTGTCGAAGCTGCATCTATTTTGATCATTGTGGTACATTGAGAATTTGTAAATGTGAGATTTGGCAGTCACTTGTTCCAGTTTTTTCATTTCCAACTTGCAATTATTCTTTCTCGAAATCATAAAGTCATTGAAATTTTTCTTCATTAAAATGATAAAGCCATTGATTCTGATGAATACAACTGCAAAACATATGATTGGGGAGGATGGTTTTTTTATAAATTTTCAAGTCTGTAGTTGATGTTTTTCATGCAATTAATAAAGGTCTTATTTGTACAGGAGGTTTTGTTTCCTGAATGACTTTTCTGATCTTGTTAGGACAAAGTGCACCATTTTACTGTTCTGTCTCTTTCAGGGTGACACTCGGTGAGCGTGCCAGTGTTCTGCTTGGCTTTATGTACTTAATTGTCACAGCAGACCAGGTGTGGACAGTACGTCCAACATCTGTGAGTGTCTTGGCCAACATCTGTGAGTGTCTTGGCCATGCACCGAAACCACAGTATTAACAAAATCATTCACTGTCCGAAGTCTCTGTTGACTAAACTTTCGTAGTTTGCTGTCCATTGCATGTGAGGTGTATCCTTCCTTTGAAGTAGAGGAGAGACTGAAAACTCTGTTTCTTCACCCTGACAACTTAGAAACTTGGTTGGAGAGGAGAGTGATTCTCACAGATTCTGCCTTAGGAACGCTTTAGTGCCCTTGGGAAAAACATCAGTCCTAAATGTTTCATATCCAGAATGTGTCAAGGTTCATCAACCACTCAACCCCATGCCCATATACCATCGTAAACATTAGCAATTGTGAATGTTCTCCCCCAAAAAATATACTACAATTGTTGACATGGTTTACATTCACATGGTCTGTCCCTGTTTACCAGCAGGCCTGATGTCAAGTCATTTAACACTTGAAATTATATGCTGTGTCATTGCTCATTCTTGTCTCCCCCTCCTATCTATCCAGTGGGCACTGACCCTGCACCCTGTTTCCAAGGCTGTACAGTTGTACAGGAATAGACGGCCCTTGTTTTTCTGTGGATCATTTGGTGCATTTGAACCTCCAGAGGAATAGCCCTTTGGGTTTTAGCAATGCAACTACCTCTAAGTCATCACAAAACTACTCAGCTCATTGCAGGCCAGACAGAACTGACTCCTAGCTGATGCTGCATCTGCTCTCTTGGGCTGTTGTCAGTGCACAGGACGAGATTGCCCATCACACTCTTGTGGACCCCTGGTGGATCTGAACCCGCCGTGGTGCCATCCTCAGGTCAGCACACCAGCTCCCTCCGTGCTTTCCCACCACAGCGCCCACGTGAGTCCTTAGAGAGATGCCTTGTCAAATCCACATGACTTGGCACGTCATTCCTGCAAGGATCGCTGCTGACAAAATGAGTTGACGTGAATGTGGTACAGTTGTTTGTGGATTTGAACATAGGCCAGCTTTTGTTAGGAAAACGTCCTGTTTCTCTAAAATGTTAAATAATTGTCCCTTGTTGAACGATGATGAACCAGTCAATCAGTAACTAAACGTTTTGCCATCACAATCTATATGGTGACCATTTGGCAGTCTGCTCCTGTAAAGTTTTGAGATACTTTGTTTTGTTTATGTTTTTTTTTAATTAATTTTAATGGAAGTTTACAGAGACTTAGGGTCTCCAGTCATTCATTTTTGTACTTTTCTCCCTTCCTCCCAATTCACTCTTTTCCTTGAAAAGAAATAAAAACTCTTTCATTGTTATGCAATCCCCTCCCCCCACCCTGCCCCCAAGTCAATTCCATTATGCAGCTGTCACTCAAGACTTCTGTGATGACAAGAACAGCCAATCATATAGCCCTTTTAAACAGTTCTTTCCCTCATCTGTTTCAATGCAATCTATATCATTCCTCCCGTCCTTTTCTGTCTCCCCTCAACCCTCATGTTAGAATAGTAGCCCTCTGCAGTATTTGTCCTTTTGTGACTGAGATGTTCCACTCAGCATAATGTCCTCCAGGGTCATCCATTTTATACATTTTATGAGATACTTGGGTTTCAATGTTGCATAGTATTCCATTCTGTAAATAGACCAGAGCTTCTCCATACATTCGTTTGTCCATGGACACTTGGGTGTGTTTCCAGCTCTTTGCTATTGTGAACAAAGCCCCAATAAACATAGGTGTGCATATATCTGCCTGGGTGGCAGTTATGATCTCTTTGGGGTATATTCCCATTAGTGGAATTGCTGGGTCAAATGGTATTTCTATTTGCAACTTTTTAAGAAAGAGCTATAGAGCCTTCCATAGTGGTTGCACCATTTTTATACTCGCACCAACAGTGAATAAGGGTTCCAGTTTCTCCACAACCTCGCCAGCATTTTTTGCTTGCTGTTCCGTTAAATTTTGCTTTTCTGACTTGGTTGAGATGACATATCCTAGTTGTTTTGAGATTTAAGGTACTATTTTGAAGACCTAGCAACGTGAATCCTAAATCTCCTATGACATACAGCAAGAAGAGATAAGTTCTCAAGTTTATT